AATTCTCAGAGATTTTTCACTTTTAAGAGCACATGTATTTACCATATATATTATTTTTATTTTGCATGTTTGTACTGACCTACTGTCACTAGTTTAATATTTTGAGTAGCTGTTGATTACTAAACGTGAATTCATCTGCAACCAGGCTTGCTTGGTCAATTTATGGAAATCAGATTTTATAAGTTTGGGAGAATGAATAGTCCCTTTAATTTGGATTAATCTCAGATAAATACATATATGGACATTATTATTGATCTGATAGGCTTCCAAGTCAGGTTGTAGATTTGTCATCGCATTCAGGCTTTAAGAAATAGGCTACTAAATGGATTGTGGATATAGATTGAATTAATGTTTTGTCGTATTAAGTTTCTTTCGGCCCATCAGGTATCTTTATTTTGCAAGACTTAATTTAAATTTAATTTAACTAACACTAACAGACTAAAGTATGACTTTTATATTGTAATACTTGTCTTTAATTTGCCTGACATATAGTTTCATAGCTTTTATATTTTAGTACCAATATTTAATTTGACTGACAACAACCTCAGATACAGCCTATTTATTATAATATTTGATGTGCAAATGTTGCTTTTATTATTTATTCCTTTAATATTTCTAAAGCCGTGTATTAATTGATACTTAAGCTAAGTATGAGATAAAGATGAACAGTCAGTTTTGATTAGCAAAGCAGGTACAGAGTAATTGTCTTGGCTATATAATCGCAAAATAGCACAATTTATTAGCGATTAAAGCAATTTAAGAGAACATGGACATCTTGTGAACACCTCTTATTCTTTAGTATTTCCCATATGGCTGAACATTTGTTGATACTTGTTATAGGTCTAGAAATTCTTTTTAAAGAAAACCTCATCTTACCAGGGGACACAAGTATAAATTTTGACAGGGTTGAAGCCATCCCCAGCTAAGATAGTTTTAATTTTCTAGCAAGGTGCATGGTTGCCCTTTGGAACAGATTGTTGTGGAGGAAGTATAATCTAAAAGAAAGCTTGATAAATATATGGATGCTAAAGGCTGGCTTTGAGGTTTTTTTCTTTATTTAATAGTTTTAGTTTAGTTTAGAGGATGAGATAGCATAGGTGTACCAATGGATCCCTTGTTGTGCCAAAATGTTATGTTATAACACGTATAAGGTAATGTTTTCTAGTTATCATAATTTGGATCACACATTAAATACACATGGAAATGACTCAACAGCATGATAAAACAAAACAAAAAGAAGTTTACCATAGTGAAAGTTAAGTCACTCAAGCCATTGAAGCAGTTTCTTGCTGCCGACAGAAAAACTAGAGCTGTAACAAAGGATACTATCGAAGGTTCCAAAGGGTTGAAACTTCAATAGTACTAATTTGCAAGATATATATGTGGATGATGTCACCATAACTATTAGTTCATGTTTGATTGAAAACCCTTTAGTTTTATGGGTAATCTATGTAAATAAAATAAAACATGTTAAAAAATGTTATAAAGAAGTGTAATCATGTTCTTATATTTAAAATAAGAAATAGACATTGTTTAAGTACATGTATTTGATCCATGTGCAATTCTCATATATATATAGTAAGTTTTCATTACAAGAGCACTTTACTGCAGCCAATTAAAAGAGTTACAGCTGATTTTTAAAAGCAAAACAAATATTTACTTAATGGTCACTATTCCAACCAGGTTAACAGTCACAGTCATTTTAATGTCAAATTGTTGATTAAATAAACAGCAAATAGAACAGTTTGACGGTAACATTTCAATTAGAAAATATATATATGACCCTTCAATTGTAATAAAAAAAATTACAAGAGACAAATATGCTATTATAAGTCATACTTTCTGTTGACAAGACTATTGATTAATTAAGCATACATCTTGGCTAAAGCTATCAACCAAATGAATAAATAATTATAAATAAATGGCAAAACAATACAGAATAATAGCAACAATTTGGTTAGAAAATAAATATTGACTTTCAACTATAACAAAAAATTTACACAGAAGTCAGTGCAGCTGTGAAAAGTATCCATTGTTTAAAGTGACACTTTTCTTACAGACACTAATTGGACCTACTGTGAAACTAACATAGTAATATTTTATTATGATTCTGAATTTCTATATGTATCTTTATAGCACCTGGCAAGCTTTTAATAAACATTACTAGTCCATTGTACACAAAAAATTAAAGATTTGCCTGTGAATTTCCAAAGCCGTTACCGAGTCAATCTGGGTAAAAGTTGATATTCGTGTTAAAAATACTTTTTTCATACTTTCATCTTACACTTTTCTTATTTCATTTACATAACACCTAGAACTTCCTGAATGAATATTATAAGTCATTCAGTAAAGCTTTATATTCTGTATGTTATTTTCTCTAACATAACACTAACTATTGAAATCAACATACAGTGAAACAACAGTTTGAAAAATATGAATTTTAATCAAAAATTGTAATCGATAGTCACAATTATTTATCCTTATAACCTCTGCTTCTAACTTTTCTGCATCTGCTTTCTTTGATTTTATGGTTGTTGTTGTAGTACTCTGAATCCTCTCTTGGTATGTGAAAATTTGCAATTTACAATATCTGCCACCTTCATATTTTGTAATAATTATAAGTTTAGTTTTCTACAGCTTTAATTTACAGAGTTCATGATAATTTGTACAGTTTAGACTCAAACATAACAAAGCCAAAAATATAGTTATTATTTCGTAAAATGTAGCATCTTTAAATACAAGTTAAAATTTGTCAACCTGGGTAATGATGAGGTCTCAATAAAGACTTGGAAAATCTGTTTCAGCACTGTAACAGTTCTTTATAAGACAGTAATGAACAAAAGAAAACTTCAATAGCAAGCCAGTTGCCAAAAGTTAAACAGGTTTTTAAACACTTTAACCATGAAGAAACTGATGATAGTGATGGCTATTAAGATCATACACCCATTACATCTCATGGAAATACTGGTGGAAATATTCTGCATAGTAAAAATGCTGAGGAGGATTTAAAAGATCATGTTCCAGGTTCTGTTAATGACTTTTTAGAGGAGGAACATGAAAATGACAATTTTGGAAGAAGTTCATATCCCACAAGAAGAGATTTATTTGATGAGTGGCAAGGTCTTGACAGTGTAGACGACAATGAAATCAACACAGAAGAAGATGATGATTTAGATATGAACAAAGAAATCAATATTCAGCAGGAATAAGCAGAGTGGGCTCTTCAATTTAATATTACACATTCTGCCCTTTCTAAACTATTGACAGTTCTGTTTTTTAAACTCAAAAATGCATCGTTAAAATCAAGCAGATCCCCAATATATCGTACACCAAAATAAAGTTTTTTCATAACTTTTATCATTTATCCATTCAGTTTCTACATATTGTACTTCTGTTGCAGTTGAAATTGGTGCTTTTTATACAATCTCTGACAATTAATCTTTCAGTATTTCATTACTTCTCAGTGCACTATTATAGATGAAATAAAATTTATTTACTCAATGTGTGATGTGTATGTTTTTATTAAGAAATAGAAAAAAGACCAACAGTATTTTTAAAGTTAAGTTTCAATTAAGTCTTGGAAGATTGATATGTGACATCACAATGAGAGATAGTTGTGACGTTTCTGAGAATCTTCACTTTT